GTTTTTGCAATCACTTGTTATGCATCAGAGAGTTGGACAATGACTAGGGAGGATAGAAGGAGAATTGACGCCTTTGAGCTGTGGTGCTGGAGAAAAGAGTACTGAATGTACCACGGACTGCCAAGAAAACAAATAGATTTATCCCAGAGAGTGTTAAACCAGGCTACTCCTTGAAGGCAAGGATTCTGGGGCTTCATCTGACATACTTTGGACATGTAAGGAGAGACAGGTCTTTAGAGAGGGACATCATGCTGGGCAGAGTAGAGGGACAGCGCAGGAGGGGAAGACCCTCTATGAGGTGGATTGATTCAGTGACTGGGGTAATCAGGATGGGTGTGTTAGAGGCAATGCGACTGGCACAGGATAGAGCAGGGTTTAGGGCTGCTGTACATAGGGTTGCTATGAGTCGCAAACGACTCGACGGCACATAACAACAACTAGTATCTACAGTACCCTATGAACTTGGAGAAAGGATATAAGTGACACAAGTGTTCAGTCAGATCTTTCGTTTATAGGGTTGTTATGAGTCACAGACGACTCAAGGGCACTTAACAACAACTTGTATCTACCAGAGAAATCCTATGGAATCATAACTGAAAAACAATTAGATCTGAAGTTCTATGTGGCCTTGAAAGGAGAAAAAAGAATTATTACTACTGTACCTGAAGCATCACATTCCCTTTAAAATAAAGCTTTAAAGTACAGATGATAATATTTGCTTTTTAAGGGTCATTGTCTGGTGCCATCAAGTCAACTATGATGCACAGGGACTCTATGAACAATGGCTTTGAATCTTTCCCTATACTGAGTCAACGTCATCATCTATAATACACCTGACCCTACTGACATAGTCATTGTGTCAATCCAACTCACTGAGGGTCTTTCTCTCTTGTGCTGACCTGCTAATCTTCCAAGCATGATATCCTTCTCCAAGGACTGGCCCCTCTTGACAACATTCTCAAAATATGTGAGACATAGCTCCACCATTTTTGCCTCCTAAGAGTACTCTGGTTTGATTTTAGGACAGATCTGTTTGTTCTCTTAGCAGTCCATGGGATTTTTAATTCTCATTTCCAGCACAACTCAAAGGCATTCTGCCATCTGTAGTCACTGTCCAGCTTTCAGAGGTATAGCAACCAACAGATAAGACCACAGCTTGAATTAGACGCACTTTAGTTTTTAGACTACCATCATTGCTACAGATCCTTGACAGCATATTTTCCTGATGCAACTTGTCTTTTCATTTCCTGACTACTGATGCCAAGGGTGCTGACTGTGGTTCTAAGAAAGATGAAACTGTTAACTTCAGTCCCTTCTCCATTTATCAAGATGCTGCCTACAGGTGGTTCAGAGCTTTTCGGTTTTTTTAACGTTGAAATACAATCTATATTGAAGGCTATCGTCACTGATCTTTGGAGGCAAATCCTCCTCACTTTTGTAAAAATTTTTACTGTATTATTTTTACATGTACCATCAAATCAGATCTGACAGGTACAGGAGGAGATTGCCCCCTCCTTCTCCAGCAGAGCATCTGGTGGATTTGAACCGTGTACCTCTGGGATTGCAGTGCAGCGTCTTGCCACTAGGCCACCAGAGCTCCCATAATCCTCCTCACTTCTGGAGAGCAAAGCTGTGTCATCTGCATAACTCGAGTTGCTGATGAGTTTTCCTCCAATCTTGATGCATACAGTCTAGCTTCTCTAATGATCTGTTCAGCATATAGGTTGAAAAGGTTTGGAAATGGATATATCCCTAACACACTCCTTTCTTAATTATGGAATTTCCATTTTTCTCAATGTTAATAAGTGATAATTTGCTGTGATCCGCACATTTAATGCCATTGCATAGCTGGCAAAATACAAATAGACATTCTCTGGCTTCAGTCAAGATCTAACATCAACAATGATATCCTTCATGCCACAGCCTCATCTAAATCGAGCTTTTATTTATTTATTTCAATGTACTAGACGTTTGTAGATAATCTTCAGCAAGCTTTTGCTTGTACTTAATATTAATGCAGAACAGATCATCCGAGATGCTGTGCTGTACGGGGACGAATGTGGTATCAGGAATTGGTGGAAGAATCATCAACAACCTGCTTTATGCGGATGACACAACCTTTCTTGCTGAAACTGAAGAGAACCTGAAGCGCTTGCTGCAGAAGGTCGAGGACTGCAGTTTTCAATATGGATTAAAGCTCAATATCAAGAAAACAAAGATTTTCAACACTGGGCCAACTGGCAGCATCAGTATGGATGGTGAAGATTGAGATAGTGAACAGTTTTCATTTACTTGGTTCCTCAGTCAACACTCTTGGTAATACCAGCCAGGAAATCAGGAGACGAATTGCATTGGGAAAGGCAGCTGTGAGGGACCTCTCAAGAGTACTGAGGAGCAACGACGTCAGGCTGGAGACTAAGGTGTGCCTCATCCAGGCTATAATCTTTGCAATTACGTGCTATGCAGCGGAGAGTTGGACAGTGAATAAGGATGATAGAAAGAGAATTGATGCCTTTGAGCTGTGGTGCTGGAGAAGAGTGTTGAATATACCATGGACTGCTAGGAGAACAAACAGGTTTGTCCTGGAGAGGGTGAAGCCAGAACATTCCTTGGAGTCAAGGATTCTGAAGCTTCATCTGACATACTTTAGGCATGTTGGAAGGAGGGACTGGTCCTTGGAGAGGGACATCATGTTTGGGAGAGTGGAATGACGGTGCAGGAGAGGAAGACCCTCTATGAGATGGATTGATTCTGTGAGTGGAGTGGTGGGAATGAGTGTGTTTGAGACGGCAAGGTTGGCACAGGATAGAGCGTCTTTTAGGGCTCCTGTACACAGGGTCGGTATGAGTTGCAAGCCACTCGATGGCACATAACAACAACAACAACAACAGCGTTTGCTAATTTTCACATTCTGTTGGTATGTTGGA